AAAGCCTTCCAAAGGCCAAGCGAACTTAAGAGACATAGCAGAACACACACTGGAGAGAAACCATATGAGTGTCACATCTGTGGGAAAGCCTTCAGCAGGCAATTTATTGTCAGGGAGCATGAGAGAATGCACAGTAGAGAAAAACCATACACCTGTCCTATCTGTGGGAAAGCCTTCAGCTATTCATGTAACCTCAGGAAACACAGCAGAGCACACACTGGGCAGAAATCATACGAATGCCTCGTCTCTGGCAAAGCCTTCACTGGGCCATATAAGCTCTGGGAACACGAGCAAAGAAAGAAAGCATATGTGTGTCCTATTTGTGGGAAAGCCCTCACCAGGCCAGCTTATCTTCAGGAGCATAAGAGAACCCACACTGGGGAGAAGCCGTATGTGTGTCAGCGCTGCGGGAAAGCCTTTGTTAAGTCATCCAATCTTAGGGTGCATGAGAGAACACACACTGGGGAGAAGCCCCATGTGTGTCAGCTCTGCGGAAAAGCCTTTGTGAGGTCGACTGGTCTTAGGGTACACAAGAAAACACACACTGGGGAGAAGCCATACGCGTGTCCTTGGTGTGGGAAAGCCTTCACTAGGTCATCGCATCTTGAGGAGCATAAGAGAACGCATACTGGAGAGAAACCACACGAATGTCACCTCTGCAGGACAGCCTTCGCTAGGGTGGCTCACCTTAAGAAGCATGAGAGAATGCATGCTGCAGAGAAAGCATATGAGTGTCAGCGCTGCGGGAAAGCCTTCAGTCACGCAAGGGCCCTGTGGCAGCATAAGAGAACCCACACTGGGGAGAAGCCGCATGCGTGTCAGCGCTGCGGGAAAGCCTTTGTGAGGTCCGCTAGCCTCCGGATGCACGAGAAAACACACACTGGGGAGAAGCCACACGCGTGCCCTCGGTGTGGGAAAGCCTTCACTAGGCCATCGCATCTTAGGGAGCATACGAGGACGCACACAGGAGAGAAGCCGTACGAGTGTGGCCTCTGCGGGAAAGCCTTTGTGAGGTGTTCTAATCTTAAGGACCACGAGCAAACGCACAGTGCCGAGAAGCCAGAGTGTGAGCTCTGTGGGAAAACCTTCAGACACTCGAGCATGAGGAAGCATAAGAGAGCACACCAGCATGTGTGTCAGCTCTGTGGGAAAGGCTTCTGGAATTCCTCTCACCTTAAGCAGCATGAAAGTAAACACGCCCAGGGGTGGGGAGCCATTCACACTCATGTAAACTCCCAAGGATAAGAACAGACTGGAAAGGAAAGTGTGATTTGTGGATGAAAGTTTCTAGTATAGCCTTCAGCCTTAGACAGCGTGGAAGTAGTCACTGGTGTAATACTTTCAATACTGTGGGGAAGGAAATGTGTTTTTCAGTATAACTTCTCAAAGTATGCATTTTCAGGTTGCTGATTAGCATATTTTCTTTACAGTAAGTAATACAAGTTGCTTTGAAAGTATGTTAGCATTGTACTTTGCCATAAGATGCATGTATATATTCAAAATTAGAAATAAATCAGTGACCAAATGTAAAGATACTGAGAATTTTCCAAAAAATTTCACCTATGCTTGCTATCTAGTTTTTTTTTCTTTGCCTAGTAGAATATATTCATGTTCTTATGTTTTGATAATGAAATATTCTCAATAGACTCCTGTTTTCTTTTTGTTGGGGGGGTGGAATCCGGTCGTGGGCCTGAACTTTGGGTCTGGGCACTGTTTCTCAGCTTTTCAACTCAAGGCTTGAGCCATAGTGCCACTTCCAGCTTTTTCTGTTTATGTGGTGCTGAGGACTTGAACCCAGGGCCTTATGCTTGCAAGGCAAGTGCTCTATCACTGAGCCACCTTCCCAGCCCGTACATCCTACATTGTCCCCAGTCGATGGGCTCTTCTAGAAAGCATGTGGAATTCTGGGTGGAGGAAGCAGGTCATTTGGGGTATGTCCTTGTAGGTCATACCAGGAGGAAACTATTCTGCTCTCCTTTTTACTCTCCCTCACTCCTTCTCCCCCTCTCCTCTCTCTGTCATTTTCCCTCTCTCCCTCAGCCTCTGCTGACATGAGGTGTGGGAATTCCTCTGCTCCACCTCCCCACTGCCCTCATGTTCTGCCCAGGGCACGGGTCCAAGGAATGAAGAACAGAAGAATCCTTTGAAGTAGTGAATCCAAATACATCTTTTGTCCTTTAAATTGTATTACAATGTTAGAAAGGTAAATAACAAAGGTAAGACAAAGATGCTTACAAAAATGAGGAAACAAATGAGGCTCGGTGTATTCTACACTTTTGGTGACCCAGATGGCTTTAGGAATAATCAGGGCTGAATGCAGCGGCACAACACTTGCCTGTTCACAGCTCTGCGAAGGGCTCCAGCAGGAAAATATTCAAACGTCAATGGATTTCTCATGGGGGGGAGAGGGAGGGGAGGGCGGGGAGGAATAAGGTATTGGACTGAGAGCACTGAGAGGCTGTTGAGGAAGCTGAGATTCCTCAGGGACAAGCTTTGTATAATGGAGTCCCTGGAACGCCGTGATTTCCCTGGAGCCCTAGGGCTCCATTTAGGGTCCCCACAACAGCCACCTGACCAGACAGGTACTATCAGATTCTGGGGAGGAGGGGGATATTCAAGTGTGGAGCAGCAAGTACCAGCCGTGTACAAAGGCCTCCAGGGTGGAGTCCATGGTCAGCTGCTTCCGTGATGGCTCTGTAGCATGCACAGGACCGCAGGGGGTGGATTGAGGGCCAGGCCCCTTTCTTGGCTGGGACAAAGTGAGTGCGTATGCAATTGGCACGCGTACTTGCAGCGGTGTGAGAGCTCGTCTGCCACCATGTGGAAATGCCACGCTGGAGACACTGAGAATGGATGAGTCCTCAAGTTCCTGAACCGCTCGCTCCCGGGACTGAACCAATGTCCAGCCAGCCAAGCCCTTGAGGGGCCTTCCAAGATGGGGGGATCTTTGCAGATGCTCGGTCCACGGATGATGCCAGGCTAGATACGCAGGGGTGGGTGTGGTGCAGTATTGGTGCAGACAGGAAGTATCTGGTGGTGGGGAGGAGAAGGGAAGAGAGCCAAGGGGCTGAGGTAGACCAGTGTGGGTGGTGACAATGCAGTAGGAATGGCCACTGAACATCTCAGGGTGGCATTCTAGGTGTTAATGTGAGTTTGGAGTGGTGCAGCCACTCTCAGTTCTTAGCCAAGGCTCGTATCCTATAATACTCTGATGCTCAGGAAAAAGCTGGAAGCAGAGCAGCATCTAGGACTCAGAGGGAGTGATGGAGTCTAGTGCTCATGTCCTAGTCAGAGTAACTGTCAGCAAGGTGCCACTTCGCTGCATTATAAACAAGACCTCCCTGTGTTTGCCAAGATCAAAAGAATCCCTAAATTTACAAAAGTTGAGTGCATGTAAGCAAGTAACATAACCAGAGTCTGATTTTTGTCTGGGATTTCTTTATATTTTCTTTTGAATTATGGGTACTGTATCAGCAAGTCCCTGGTTGCAGTGGCAGTATAAATTCACTTGAGTTGGAGCCAACTGTCAAGTCAAAAGAATAAATGTTTGAGCTGGGCGCTGGTGACTTATGCCTGTAACCCTAGCTACTTAGGAGGCTGAGATCTGAAGATCATGGTTCAAAGCCAGCTTGGGTGGGAAAATCCATGAGACTCTTACCTGTAATAAACCACTCAAAAACCAGAAGTGGTGCTGTGGCTCAAAGTGGTAGCCTTGGAGCCAAAGAATTTAGGGGACAGTGCCAAAGCCTTGAGTTCAAGTCCCCTGACTTACCAAAAAAAAAAGAATAAATGTTTGCTAAGCATCAGAAAACCTGTGACCATTTGGGCCAAATCTTGAAGAAGATTGGTCCTCTTATTAGTCCATATGGAATAGACCCGTAGTACATGGCACCTGTAAAATTCTAAACTGCCTCCTTCTAGACAAACATGACCCGATGGCACGTGACTGATTTTTAAACAACTCTGCAGATGAGTGGTGAAGATTTTGACGTTTCCCAGATCAATTACTCTTTACCCAATGCTTGACTTTGGGTCACTTCGGCTTTTTGCAATCACAGTATCGCGTCTTTGGATATCATACAAATGTTGATGAAGATTTTCTGCAAAAGACACTGAGTTTAGAAGTGTGTGTCCCTTGGGTGATCTAGAACACATAGTTCTGTTCTAAAATGCATGCAACTTTTAGGGTAGTGGCAGGGTTTCCTGAAAAACAATCTAAAGCGTGTCTCAGAGCATGTGTAGCTGATGCATAGTTTCAGGATATCCGAATCCCTCGTCAGTCCTCTGGGTTTATTTCCTGGGTGCCTTGTCCGGATCTTTTTGAACCTAGAATTACTTCCACTCTGTTGACATTAGGTGGCACTCTAACCCCACAATGCTGCTGTAGATTTGGAGCCATACAAAGTATTGTGGAATACATAATGAAGGAAGCAGCCACCAGTTTCCTTAAAACATCATTAATAGCATTGTAATTTCTCAACTTAGTCCCTTACAACTCCTCAACTTCTGTACTATTGATTGGCTGTATTTTCAGTGGCATATGCATGAGAATATTCACAGAGCACAAGAAAATATGATCCAATTAAATCCAGTGGCACGGCAGGACGGGGTTGATTGGCGCTCCACGGTCAGCTGATGGCGTCCCAGGGATGCACACGTGGCTCAGCGCACACAATGTGAAGGGCAAGACAGCTGCAGTGTGTAAAAGTCACGTGCCCAGTCATCATGGACGAACGTGGCTGTCGGGAGCCATGCAAGGAAGCCCTGTGGGTTTCCCTGTGCTGACTGTATCTTGCTCCTGGCCCTCTACCCTTTCACTCTGATCTCCAATTAACTAGCAACAAGCCAGACTGGAGCTGTGTTTCAGCCCGGAGTGATGAAGCTAAGGGAGAGGGCCTAGGCACTAACTTTAGCTCCAGAACTGGCACGTGCCTGGGCACATGTGCACACGCGCGCACACACACACACACACACACACACACACACACACACACGAAAAGAAAACAAAATTTATTACCATACAGTCAGACCTGTGGTCATCTTTGAAAAACCACTTTATATATTTTTATTTTAAAACATCATATGGACCGATATGTTTCCAAAAATGGTTTTCTTCGTAACTCCACAGGAAGCAAGTTTAACCTCACAGGGTATGAAAGGAATTCCCCCACAGCAGAGCGAGCACTTCTCCTGCCTTTGGGGGAGAAGCAGCAGATTGCTCATGATGACAGTGGTCTGGGAAAGATACTGTGCTGTGTTTGAAAACATGGATGCCAAGTCTGGGCAAATTAGGGCCAAGAACAAGTTCTAGTTTGTCATGTTCCAGAAAAGGAAAGAATCATAGCATTACAAGAGGGTTTTTGCACGTGTCCATTTCTTAACAGGTTGAAGTAATTTCTTCATCTAGATATTCCCCTCTGCTGGAGAGTTCTGTCTGTAGGACTGCTCTGTTCTAGCATCATCTGGAACGCTACATTTAGAGATGTGCTGAGAACATAAGACTAAAACCCTGAAGATGGAATATGGGTATGACTAACGCAATAACTGACATTTTTCATCAGACATCTGTAGTGAGGATGTTGCATTTTATGACTTTCGGGCATACTGCTGCTGGAATAAGCCATGAATTGATCTATATTTACTGTAAGTGACCAGAGTGAATCCATAATGCTACTCATTATGTCACCAAGTTGGATTTTAATACGTGATTTTCTTGTATTTTCCATCTGTGTGTGTGTGTGTGTGTGTGTGTGTGTGTGTGTGTGTGTGTGACAGAGAGGGGAGAGAGAGGAGAGTCAGCATACATGTGACAGAGATAGAGAATGACAGGGCAGGGCTACAGGGCTACTTCTGGAGCAGCGTCAGTTAGTGTGTAGGAGGAATCTGTTCCTTACATAGGTCAAGCTCTTCCTATTGCAGACATCAGAATCTCGGTACAAAAGTTTGGTGTGAAGGCAAGTCTGTTGAAAGCCAGGGCAACATCTCTGGAACTCAGTGCCCCAAATGCCAGTCTAACTTTTCTATCCTCTTCCATTTATCTATTTTCTCACCTATGTTATCAATCAATAAGGTAATTAACGGGCACTGTGCCTGAAAGATGGGGTACAGAGACGAGTCAGATGACTGCCTCCGCCCTGGAGAAGCTTGGGGCTGAGGATGGGAATTTCTTTCTAGAATCTGGATTGTCACAGCTTTGAGCCATTCAGATTTCGGAGGCCAAAGAGAAGACAGGGAGGTTCCTTCCGCACCTGTCACCAGTCTTGCGGGTGTGTCTCCTGCCTCAGGCCTGGGGCCAACGCTTAGCTTTTCAAGTACGCTCTTTTCTTACAGCAGAAGGGTGTCAGGTCAGACCTGCAGCCCCCGATCCTCACTTCGAAGGTCAGACATTCCACCTCGCAGCGGCCGGCCATTCTGATACAGCGGATTCTTCGGTAAGCTCCTTCCCTGGCTATGTCAAGGAAACCGTTAGTTCTTAGTTTCTAGAAACTGTAGCACCAGTCCCCACTCAGAATTCCTCTCACAGAATATGAATCGAGAGAGCAGACAAGTATGTATTGCCTGAATAGATTGGCCTGAGCTCAGACCTCCAGCGTAATATCCTTACTAGTCAATTAGGGAAAATTAGGAAATCTTCAAAGCTATGCTATGTGAGCATATAAAATCATAGCTATGTTATGCTAATAGAATGCTTCTTGCTATTACACTGGCCACATAATTTCCAATTTGAATAAAGTCTTTTCCAACACATTAAACATATTTCCAAATTTAGTGTCTGATGTAGAGAAAAATGTAATTGTGTGCAATATACATTACAGGCAGGTAAGCGATAGATCATATGTGTTGTCCTATGTTTGTGCAGTTTCATAATTTTATACACAAAGCAAAAATAAGTACATGCTAGTCTTCCTCATTCTGTTCTGTAAAGTCATGACCTACATCTTCTATGTCATCCTGTTAGAGCATCTTTGGAGCCTAGAAAATGGCCATGCGGGGACAGCGGGGCTCACCCCCACACCTGTCCCAGTAGGACTTAGTGGAGAGTTCTTGACACAACATATTCAACTTACTTTTTGGGTTTGACTCTTACATTGAAGAGAAACAGACTTCAACCTCATTCCAGTCACTTCTGTTCTTGTTTCCTTATCATAATACGCCAGCTTCTCTCATCTTTATTCTAATTAATAGCTCTCTTAGTCTTCACCACAGCCATATTATTACTTTTTTTTTTTTTTTT